TCATATGGCTAAAGTTTTATCAACAGTTCGTTCATAGATTACTGTGGTACGAAGTGTATGGTTCATGTGATCTTGCTGGACATTCTTCACTGATATTCACATCAGACAACCTGCCTCCTACACACAAGCAAAATAATCTTCTGGCTTGGAGAAACTACTTTTTGTATACACGCTACATGAGACGCATTCATGATGCCTGCTCTGTTATTAAAACAGGTAGATACAAGCATCATCTCAGGTCTGTGATTTACAAACTTGACAAGAGGATTCAGTTAAACAACTCCCATTTATGATATTTTTTTTTAACGTGTCAAGTCACTGATATCTCCATAGGACTGGCTTCTGTTGACATTGGGGAGCCATGCTAGGATCTCAGTAGCTTGTTTCTGGTCATGAATAGCCTTGGAAAGTTTGCAAAGCCTCTCTCTATGAGATGACAGAAAATAATAACAGTATTGCAGGTAATTCAAGGGCACCTTGAATTCTCCAACTATGGCAACTGAAATGAAAACAAGAGTAGCTGGTCTCATCTGGTGATCTAAAGTAGAAGAGTCCTGGACCCACATGGTATCCTGTGAGCTACTTTTGCAACTGATGCATAAAAATTCTGAAGTAAGTGACAACCGTTCAGAGGCCCAGTGAGAACTAATAGGTAGGAAGCTGCTTACTGCAAAAGTGCTCCAGCAACCTTCTGCTGGGATCTTATCCTGTGACCTGCCACTTGGGCTACCTGGCTCCCTGATAAAGTCAGGACCATGCTTGGTTCTCCCAGGAGACTTCAATCACTCTGACATCTGTTGGGAGGGCAATATAGCAGTGCACAAGTAATCCAGGAAATTTTTGGAGTGTTGATGTCAACTTCCTGGTGCAAGTGTTGGAGCAGCCAACTAGGGGCCATGCTCTTCTTGACCAGCTGCTCACAAACAGGGAAGAACTGGTGGGAAACGTAGTAGTGGATGGCAGCTTGGACAGCAGTGACCATGAGATGAATGAATTCAAGATCCCAAGGAAACGAAGGAAGGAGAGCAGCAGAGTCAGGACCTTGGACTTCAGAAAAGCAGACTTCGACTCATTCAACAAACTCATGGGAAGGATCCCGTGGGAAGCCAGACTGAGGGGGAGAAGAGTTCAGGAGAGCTGGCAGTACTTTAAAAGAAGCCTTACTGAGAGTGCAGGAACAAACCATCCCAATGCACAGGAAGACTAGCAAGGATGGCAGAAGACCAGCTTGGCTTACCAGGGAACTATTCAGTAAACTAAGTCATAATAAGGGAGTTTATAAGAAGTTGGAACTTGAACAAATAAATAGGGAGGAGTATAAAAGCATTGTTCAGGCATACAGGGATGAAGTCAAGAAAGCCAAAGCGCAATTGGAGTTGCAGATAGCAAGGGATGGGAAGGGTAACAAGAAGGGTTTCTACAAGTATGTTGGTAGCAAGAGGAGGATCAGGGAAAGTGTGGTTACCTTACTGAACGGGGGAAGCAACCTTGTGACAGAGGAAGCAGGAAAAAGGCCAAAGCGCCCCATGCCTTTTTCACCTTAGTCTTCACAGACAAGGTCAGCTCCCAGACCACTGGCACCAGGTAGCACAGTCTGGGGTGGAGGCGAGCAGCCAACAGTGGTGAAAGAACAGGTTAGGGACTATTTAGAAAAGCTGGACATGTACAAGTCCATGGGGCCAGGCGGGATGCACCCAAGGGTGCTGAGGGAGTTGGCTGCTGAGATTGCAGAGCCACTGGCCATCATCTGTGAAAACTCATGGTGATCAGGAGAGGTCCTAGATGATTGGAAAGGGACAAATATAGTGCCCATCTTTAAGAAAAGGAAAAAGGAGGTTCTAGGGAACTACAGACCATTCAGCCTCACCTCAGTCCCTAAAAAAAGTCATGGAACAGATCCCTCAAGGAATCCATTTCTAAACTCTTGGAGAAGAAGGAGATTAGGAGCAATCAGCACAGATTCACCAAGGGAAAGTCATGCCTGACCAACCTGATTGCCATCTATGATGAGGTGACTGGCTCTGTGGATGTGGGAAGACTGGTGGATGTGATATACCTCGATTTTAGTAAGGCTTTTGATACAGTCTCCCCACAACGTTCTCACAGGCAAGCTAAGGAAGTACAGGCCGGATGAACGGACTGTAAGGTGGACAGAAAACTGGCTGGAGCATTGAGTTCAGAGGGTAGTATAATCAATGGCTCAATGTCTAGCTGGCTGCCAGTACCAAGTAAAGTGCCCCAGGGGTCAGTCCAGGGGCCAGTTTTGTTCAAGGTCTTCATCAATGACCTGGAAGATGGCATACAGTGCACCCTCAGCAAGTTGCAAGCTGGTGGAAGTAATAGATATGCTGAAGGGTAGAACAAGGGTTCAATTTGTCTAGGTCGCTCTGGAGGATTGGGCCAAAAGAAATCTCATGAGGTTCAACAAGGACAAATGAAAAGTCCTGCACTTAGGATGGAAAAATCCCATGCACCAGTACAGGCTGGGGGCTGACTGCCTGGCCAGCAACTCTGCAGAAAGGGACCTGGGGGTTACAGTGGACAACCAGCTGAATATGAGCCAGCAGTGTGCCCTTGTTACAAAGAAGGCTAATGGCATACTGGGCTGCACTGGTAGGAATGTTGCCAGTATGTCAAAGAAAGTGATTATTCTTTTCTATGCAGCACTGGGGAGGCTACGTCTGGAGTACTATGCTCAGTTTTGGGTCCCCGACTACAGAAAGAATGTGGACAAATTGGAGAGCCCCCCTCCAAAAATACTGAGGGATCTGGGGGGACATGACTTATGAGGAAAAACTGAGGGGATCTGATAGCAGCCTTCAACTACCTGATGGGGGCTCAAAAGAAGATGGAGCTGTACTGTTCTCAGTGGTGGCAGATGACAGAACAAGAAGCAATGATCTCAAGTCGCAGCAAAGGAAGTTTAGGTTAGATACTAGGAAGCACTTTCTCACCAGGAGGGTAGTAAAACACTGGAAGAGGTTACCCAGAGAGGTGGTGGAAGTTCCATTCTTGGGGGGTTTTAAGACCCGAGTAGGCAAATCCTTGGCTAGGAAGATCTAGTTAGGGATGGTCCTGCTTTGAGCAGGGGGTTGGACTAAATGAACTCCTGATGTCCCTTTCAGACCTCATTTTCTATGATTCTATGCTGTGACCAGTCATTGCTGTGACATTTTTTGTTCACAACAGCAAGAGCAGAAGATAAATGTCAGCCTCTTAGTAGAAATGGATGCATGCCTAGATTACATGGAAATCCTCTTGTGGGGCAAGGTTCTGGAAGCCTGTACAGATGAGGGATGGCACAAGGAATACACTAGTCCACACAAGGCAAGGCAAAAATGCAGCTGCTGTCCAATATGGAGCATATGCCAAATTATCATGAAAAGGGTTCTAAAAGGAAAAGAAATAATGAGAAATTCACAAGGAAACAAAGGAAAAAACCTTGAATGAAAATTTGGGTTTTGGGTTAAGGAGCATTCCCCCCTCCCCAGCTGTAGCTTGGGAAAGGTAGAACAAAGTAGAGAGTATGCAAGGGAAGGCTGAGCTCATCTTCCAATTTGGCCCTTTCTGCTGATGAAGCAGAGCTGAGGACACTCATAAGTGATCATGGTTGGAGAAAAGCCAAGAGCCATGGAGGGACTTAATTTTTTTTCTTCAGTCCCATCAGTCCAAGGCAAGTTCCATTTAATTCAATGTACACAGCTTGGCCACGAAATATGAAAATAAAATGAATGTTCAAGTCCGGTACTTTGTGTTCAAGTAGAAACCACACTGTTGTCAGAAAAGGACCCATTTAAAAGCAAGTTTATACACTGAACTGTTTTTTTAAATGCTATTTCAGGAGCTACCTGGCACAGGCTTTTAAATTAAGCGGTGCTGTCCCAGCTTGTGTCCTAAGAATCTTTAATTCTTATAACCAAAAGAATCTGCAAAGTAAAGGCTAGTGGGATGAAAGTCTAATAAACATATAATCCGGGGACAGTCAAAATTTTTTAATTCAAATCCTCTCAACAAAGGTCAACTATCAGATGACATGCATGACTAACAGTAAGGACAGAACAGGAGACAGGCCTCAAGTAAGGAAAAAACAGGTTAGAGATTACCAAGATGAGTATTTTCAAATAAACAGGGCTGGATGTAATTCATCCTGAAGTATTTAAGAAATTGGTTCAGGTTATTGCAGAGGCATTGGCTATTGCCTTTGAGAACTATTGGAGATCAGAAGAAGCTCCAGAAAGTTGGAAAGTGGCAAGTATTCTGCCCATTCTTTAAAAATAGGGAAACAAGGATGATGCAAGAAATTACAGCAGTCAGTCTAACCTCGATATTTGGGAAGATACTGGAGTATACTCTGCAAAGAATCTATTTCTGAACACACAAAGTGATAAGGAACAGCTAGCATGTACTTGTCAGGAACAGGTTCTGCCTAAATAACAGGCCTGTGTGAAGCGGCTAGTATTCGCTTCGGATTTGGCCAATTTGGGAGACAGCGATTCAATTCTGTTGCCGCTGGGTCCTGCTGCCAGCTCCTCTCCAGCTTTGATAGGCAGCCACCAGCAGGTGGTAATTTTCTACATTTTAGAATGGCCTGGCAGGCCGGATCCTGCCCGCAGGCTGTATTTTGCCCGCCCCTGCTGTATCCAATGACACTCTCTCAAGTATTCTTAGGAAATACAGGCTAGATCAGTGATACTCAACCAGGATGCCTTGAGTGGGGTGCTGCGAGATGCCACACAGTGTTAGCTCTGGTAGGCGTGCAAACATGAATCACAAGATAGTCCCAGAAGTTTCAAATAGGAATCTATAGTGTTAAAAAAATATTCTGACCTGTTGTGGTCTTGGAGTGGTTTGCAACAGAATTGCTGTATTATTTTTCCACAGTCAAAAAAAATGAATTAAAACTAAGAGGTGGCATTTTCCAAGGGATCCCTTATGTCTGAAAAGGTGGAGAATCACTGGGCTAGATGAAATTGCTGTAACTGATGGAAACATCATGCTCAAGAGTTGTCATCAATGCCTCAATGTCTGCTTGGGAGGAGATAACAAGCAGGGCTCTCCAGGGTTCTGTCCTGGGTCTGGTACTGTTCAATATCTTCATTAATGACTTGCAGGATGGAAGTCATTGAGCGCACACTTAGTAGAGATATGCAGATGACACTAAGGAGAAGGAGGTAGCAGATAGTTCAGAGGAGAGGATTAGGATTAAAATCAACCTTAATGCATCAGTGAAATAGGTGAAACAAGTGGGATGAATTGCAATAAAGACAAGTGCAAAGTACTGTACTTCAGAAGGATCAATCAGATATACCAAGACAAAATGGGAGAACAACTGGCTAGGCTACAATGGTACAGAAAAGGGCCTGGGGGTTAAAGCAGACTAAGATGAAGGGATCAGCTGAAGTGTAGTACAGTATTATTGCAAAAAGTGAAGAGCATACTGGGTACAATGACAGGAGTGTTGCATACAAGTTGCAGGAGGTGATTCTTCCCTTCCATTCAGCACTGCTGAAGTCTCACCTGCAGTACCCACCTTTGTGCACTACACTTCAAGAAAGACATGGACAAATTGGAAAGAGTAAAGAGGAAAGCAACAGTGACTGGAAGGAATTTTACCCCATGGTCAGATTGGTATGGACTATGGGGATTTTTGCCTTCCTCTGTAGCAGGGATGCGTCAGTCTTCCTTGGATCTGACAAGCATATTTTAACAACCCTTGAAGCACCAGAATACTGCCCACCATTGTTCCCCTGCTTTACTGGTGGCAGGTTAGGGTGCTGTGTCTAGTGGCTGTGACAGGGCTGACTCTACAGTTTTAGCAACAGGTTGGACAAGGATTTGTTTAGGATGCTTTGGATAAGGATGTTCCTGCCTTAGGCACAGGGTTGGACTAGATGACCTCCAGAGGACCCTTCCAGCCCTGCTTCTCTATGACTATGAAAGATTATAAAAACTGGGGGTATCCAATCCTAACAAGACTGTGGGAAATTGAGGGAAATTTGACTAAGGGAAATCTAATAACAGCCTACAAATACAAACTGTTACAGAGAAGATGGTGACAGACCAGTGGTACTCAAGCGTTTGGTCCCACAGGCCAGATGAGTGGCATGGCAACAGCCCCACCCAACAAGGATTGGACCTTGTGCTGCTTTCACCCACTAGAGATCAGACCCTGCACTGCCGGGTCCACTCTCTGGTCTAGCACGCAGGTCCACTCTCTGATCTGTAGGTTCCTCACACATACAGAAATGTGACAGCTGGGAAGCAACAACCACTCCCTTGCTGCCAAATTTTTGGACCTGTTGGAAGCCCCATGGGTCAGATGATGGAGCTCTGGGGCCAAATTTACCCCATGGCTTGGGTGGGAGTTGAGCACCCCTGTGACACTATTCTCTGCTTACCAGGAGACAGGACAACAAACAATGGGCTTATATTGAATCAAGGAAAACTTAAATTGGATACTGGGAAGAACTTCCAAATTCTGAGGATGATTAAATACTGGAATAAATTACTTAAAGATCACAGAATTTCCATCACTGGAAGTTTAAGTGCAAGTTAGGCAAACTTTTGACCTGGATGGTTTAACACAAGGATGATCATGTATTAAGAAGGAGGTCCGACTAGATCTTGCGAGATCCCTTCTAGCTTGATTTTTCCGTGACACACACTATGCCACTCCCTGTCAATGGGTACATGAAAAACTAGACTTTGAAATAGGTTTTGTTTTTGTTTGTTTGGGGGGGGGGGGGGGAAGAAAAGTGTTGGGGGGTTTTTTTTTTTTTTTTTTTTTTTTTTTTTTTTTGTTTTTTTTTTTTTTTTTGGGGGGGGGGGTGGGAAGAGAAGTGTTGATGGGGTTTTTTGTTTTATTATTTTTATTTATTTATTTTAACCAAACCCTGAAAAATAGCTAGACAAAATTTACTCAAAACCTAGAAGATCTCTGATATGTCAACAGCTGAAGGAGAACAAGACATATATATTTCTCAAGCATCTTAAAACAGATACTTCAGCGAGATGCCTCAGGGCTACAAATTTCAAACAATCTAGGTTGCATTGCCTGCATTTCCCCAAACTTGCACGCCAGAACATCATATGTTTGGACCTTTTAAACAGCAGTGTGAAGAAATCAAGGATGTATACACCAAGGAAAAAACGATATCTATTATTCAGATAAATTAGGTATCTCTTTCTTAAACTGCACCAAGGCAAGAGCTTTATGACTTGAGTTTCATCATCCCTTATTTTGCAGACCCCAAGAACTAATAAGAATATACCAAAGGAAGCCATTTTTAACAATGTATTTCCTAAGGGAAGGCTCTGTGTTGACTGTTTAGCAAACGTTCCACTAATACACTAATTAGATTGCTAGGAAGTTACCTCAAGTGGAAAAGTAGGGAGCAGAAGTCAATTGGTTCGACTGAAGGCAAACCTTGGACCAATCTTTTAGAGATAATCCTCATACTGAAGCTTACCAATGGCGTAAACAGTTTTTGACATTTAATAAAAATATTTTCATTTCATCTAAAGATCAAAATGGGAGTACTTACTGATATCATCTTCATGATAAATGACAGAGTGAAATGGTAGGGCTCTGTCCTTAATATATCTCTCTGCTGGCTCAACATAAAAGGTGCCACTGTGCGTCTGAATGAATCCTTCAAATCTTCCGTCAATAACAGATCCATGGCTAAAGCTTCCCTGCTCACCTATTAGAGAAGGATGCAAGTGTATTTTTAAAATAAAATTCATACTTCTCTAAAATGTTTCAAAAGAAAACATCTAAAAACCAATGCAATAAAACCAAAAAAGGTACAAACAAGCTATACAGTATGTGAGTACTATGTGATAAATCAGAAAAAATAATCCAGGTTACAGCACTAAACAATCCTTACAGATAATGTGGAATGAAAGTATTTTTAGGAGTAGGAGGAGGGGGAGACGGTGGCAATGGTGGTGGTAGGTAAAGAATTCACCAAAAATGCATAGGAGGAATTCAGGTCTAGTTTATGTTAACTTCTGTAGGACTCTCAACTGACTTGTTTAAACAAGCTGATTTCTCTACATGTAATTTTTTTTAATAATTTAGTTTAGGTACATATCAACATGCATGTTTACAGTTATTACCTAAATGTTGTACATGCACACCTGAGAAGTCCTTAGGTTCGTTTATCAATATTTGTGTGGGGAATTAAATTTATAGTCTAGAACAGCACAAGGAATGAAAGGTAGTGCTGTCCATTGCATGCATCCAAAGGCACAATTTGGCAATCCACAAAAAGTTAGTTCCCCCACCCCCCCTTAGACTCCATTTCTCACATGTGGTCTAAAGCCTTGTATTTTGGAATGAGGCATGCTAATTATTTAATGCAATATTGTATGCATAAACTGACCAATCCTCTATTTATAAATTCTTATATCGTTTATGTGAGAATGAGTTCTTAAAGGAGTTATAAATATTCATTCATAGGGTGCAACAGTAACTACTATCCAGTTTCTTTCAAGACAAACTATATAATATGACCACAGAGTACTTGAATTGCCTTTGACCACAGTAAATAATGATGTTTAAATCAGAACTCTACAGCAACAACAAAATCAACCCTAATATTACTTCAATAACTAGATTTTTTCTGTAAACAATGGGGGCTTATCTTCCGTAGGCAGAAAGGTGTCAAGCTCCATAACCTGTATCAGTCAAAGTTATGCTTGCCATAGTGTGCAGAGCAGCTGAAAGCAATGTAGTCTGTGAAAAATTGTAACAAGTAGACAGTACTTGCAATTGCACTTACTTTGGGGAGGGAAGGAAGCTTACCAAGCAAGTGCCATAGTGTTAAGACCATTTAGACCAGGGGTGGGCAAAACACAGCCTGCCAACTGACTGGATCGGGCTGGCGGCTACCCCTGCAGCACTCTGCATGGTGCTAAGCCCCACCTGCGCCCATCAGGGCAGCCCACACCACAGTCCCGCCAGTGCCCACCATCCTGGCCCTTGGCCAGTGCATAGCTTCTGGTGGGGCACTTCCTGGTGCAGCTGCAGCCAGCTGGGTGCTGCTTTGCTCCCCTCACTACCAGCAGGAGTTGCCTGGCTGAAGCTTCCCCACACCCAGAGCAGTGCGGCAGGAGGGGAAATGGATGAAGGAGCACTGCTGGTGCCCACCCAAAACCCCATAGGGAGTTTTAGTGAGCTGTTGCACATGGAGGGAGGGGAGTGACAGGAAAAGGAGAGTGCTGACCTGCCCACAACAACTCATCAAAACTCCAGATGTGGCCGTTGGCCCAAATAAGTGTCCACTCCAATTTAAGCCAATCTAAATCTGTAGGTCTAAAAATAATGGAAGTAACTAATATATGGCCTTCAAAAAGTTCAAGGTGGTTCATTACAGGACAATACAGATAGCATCCATGCAAAACACCTCACATTGGTGACAGTAGCAGTATGCCTTAATTTTCTTTTTCCCCAATTTTTTCATCATTTTTACTCAATTTATACTTGTACATCATTGCATCTGACTTCCTTCATGAGGATGGGGACAGTCCAGCTGCAGCTATCTTACTTTCCAGATAACAACAGCTTATTCTCAGTATCCATTTATCTTTTAAAATGCAGAGATATAGGCCTGTTTTGTGCTATCAGGCTTCTATGAAGAGCTTTTATGTTAACATACTTCAGCTTCAAGCTCTACCGATCCATGAAACTTTTGAAGCAAAATATTCATCCGAGAACAAAAGATACACTTGTGGAAGACAAGAGCAGAAAAGTTAAATATGTGAAGAAAAGTATGAAGAATACCTTAATTTTAAATCATAAAGTATACAAGATATAAGCATTCTTTCACATTCCTCGAAATTCTAGAATAATCCAGATGAATTAGCTTTTCAGAATTTTAGAATAATCAAGATAGTCCTGGTCATCTTTTAAATATGATCTAACTTCACAATTACCAGTAGATCACTGGATTACTGTACCGTTAAACACGATTAGAAACTTAAGTGTAGATCAGAACTGTCCAATCAACAGCCCAAAGACTGCATAGGGCCTATGAGGGGTTATTCTGTGTTCCTCACGCTCCTACTCAAACTGCTCCTCCCGCCCATCACTCCAGCTACTGCAGCAGCAGCAGCCGCCAAGGACTCTTGGTTGCCCCTCACTTTTCTTGCCTTTGTGTCCTGTGCCCATATCAAGTGCCCACACTTAAGGGGTCCTCAGCATGGTGAAGCAGAGGAGAGAGGGCTGCCCTCAAACACAACTGCAGTGGCAAAGAAGGGAAAAGGCCTATGTTACACACTAAGCAGCCAGAGGCCACACTAAAAGTTTGACAGCCCTAGTGTAGACTACATAGTCTAGGATTAAACAAGGATTGGGGCTAAATAACAATTAACCTAACACTAAGTCAGAGATTCAGCTTTTGGAGAACGTAGCAAAGTCTTTAGTCCCGCTGACCAAGACCTTAGGACTGGGAAAGCCTCAGCCCCCCAATTGTTTGTTGCAATATAAACTATACCCACTTCTACTAAAGGGTTAGATCAATAGCTTCTCTTTAAGCCTTTTAAAATAGAAAGGCAGTCCATGTGGACATGTGGTCCAAGATTAACATTCAGACACCGACGTCCTGATCTGCTAGATAGTTGATTTTATAACCTTAGGGGAAATAAAAGTGATCACCTAAAAGAATGGCCTCATGTTAAGACTCTACTGATACCCTTATGTGAAAAATTTTCTTTATTTGTTGAATCAATTATTAATGGTTACTATCTTTTGTCAAAAATATAACTAGATCCATTAGCCCTGGAGCAATGATTCCCAACCAAGGTGTCCCACAAGATCCTTTGAGGTGTGGCACGGGAGACATGTTGAGACAAGCAGATAAGGACAAGCTCAGGGTCCAGGTGTACATGCTGTCTCTGCCTGGCAGCTTCACTGCCCTCGTTGCCCAGCTCCTCTGCAAGGAGGTAAGCACTACAATAAATAAATTAGTTTTGGAAATGGGGTGCTGCTCAATTCACAGAAGTTACAGAGAGGGTGCCTCAAGTCAAATAAATAAGGGGTAAGTCTAAAGGCAGTGACAGCCACCTCCCTAGAGGCATCTTGTGTATCTAATGCCAAGACAAACACACAGCAAATTAAAGGGGGTAAGAATATGCCATGGAGCCCATGCTCCATAATAACTGTTTATGTTCCAGTGCTTACTTTGCTATAAGTGAAAGCCAAAACAGGCTAAATTACTGTAGTTTAGCTTTCATTTACAACAGGATAAGAGCAGTTCCAGAGTTACTGTATGTTCCTTACATGGTAAGTTCCTACCAGTTCCAGTGTAAATATGGGGGGTATCATAATCAGTTACTTAATTTGACATTTCTACTTTCAAGTCATCACTAAAGAAAGATGCATCTCTTCACTGGAAGGTTGAAATGTCTATAAAGTGAACAAAATAAAGATTGCAACCTAAAACATTACTTCAAATAGACAAGTGCTGATTAATGTAAGCTACGTTAAGATGCAGTTGGAAGTAAATACCTTGAAGATCCTTTAAAAAATATCCAAATAGAAAAAAATGCTTCCTATACATGCGATTTCTGTGCCCTGGGTGTGCCCCCTCTTAATTGCTGCCCGAGGCTGATGCCTCTCACCCACCCCTATTTACGTTACAGGTGCCTACCCTCTATTAACTCATTCATTTTTGCATTTTTCCATATGCTGGTGTTTAAATACCCTGTTCACCACATTGTCAGAATCCTTGAAGTACCAACTTGCCTGGGAATGCAGTAGGGCCATGCAGCTGTATTTAAACAGGCACTGGTGAGCTCAAAAGGTTTAGCCTTCTGGTACAGTTCACAGTTAGGTAAATCATCATCTGGCTGAAGGAGGAAGATTTTATAGCGAAGTATAATACCCACATTCTTGAAAAGTTACTTAAAATAATTTATGTTCAAACTTGAGACTTAAGTTACACAAATAACTGGCAAATTAAAAAAAGTTAGGAAAAAAGATTAAATCTATTCATACTATAGATTTTACATTTTTCAAATTCATACTTAGAATAATTTAATAAATCCAGTTGATAATGCAACATTTATGTAAACATTTTATTAAGCTTTTGCATTTTAATCCATTTAAAATATTGTACTTACCATATATATGTCCAGTGTAAATATGGGAGGTATCATAATCAGTTACTTTATTTGATATTTCTACTTTAAAGTCATCACTAAAGAGGGATGCATCTCTCTTCATTCGAAGGTTAAAATGTCTATAAAGTGAACATAATGAGACTTTATAAACTACAATATAACTTCAAATAGATAAGTGCTGCTGAATGTAGGCTACATTAAGATGCAATTACAAGTAAATACCTTGAAGATCCTTTCAAAATATCCACACAGAAATAATGTTTCTTATAATACAATAATAGTTCAGTTCAACCCATAAGAGTATTTTGGTTGTTTCTACTACAAACAGAATATGCAAATAACGCCACAAAAATATTTAAAGCTAGAAATTGTGGCCAGAGTTAAAGCTCACAAATCTCATCAGCCAAACCTTAATTAAAATATTTGCTCTCACCCAACCCCATGAGAGCTACTGGAAGAATAGTTATTTTTTCCTGCAATGAAGCACTATGAAATATTTAAGGTAGTCTCATTCATTTCAATTTCCTTTGTTTTCATATTTCCAACATGGATGAGACTTACAATATAGGAATATTAGCTGTAGAGCTGAACGGAAACCCCACCAAAACCCAAAACAAACAAAAACTGAGAAAGATGCTAAAATTTATAAGAAAGTAAATGCAACTTGTAGCTATGTCAGTTCAACTTTATATCCAAATTAAACAGATTTAGTTCTGTTCAAGTTTCTCATGCAGATTTCCAAATCCAACAGAAATTTAGATGGCACCTTGGTAAGAAGGAATACAAGTTAATGGTATTAAGTTGAATAAGTAATCAAGATACAAGACTTTTCTTTAGGGTTTACAAAAAATTAATCAAATGTGGAAAAAAAAACACACTCTTATGTTGTATAATTCATGACTAAAAGCTGTCAAGATGCCACCATTCCAGGATAAAGTAATGGTGTGAAAAAAAAATCTTAAGTAGTCTGAATGCCGCATTAGTTGCAATAAGAAAGTATGCCACAAGTACTAAAAGTTTGTCACACCCAGAATCCACTGTTTTGTCATTATGGCAGGCATCACATTACTTAACTATATACATTTGAGAAAGAACTAGTTGAAGTTCAGTGGTACAAAGTAGTAACAGCCACACATACTTACCAACTTAAGTTGTCTGAATTCTAACTAATAGTTAAATAATGATACTTCCCTGAAGGATATAAAGCAAGATAGAGATTTCTTTAAAATGAGGCTCAGACCATCAGTTTTTAATCTGATTTTAAAAATTGAGCTATTATTATCCTGTACATGGAAAAGCACTTTAACTTTCCTTCATCTAACAGCCTAGGACAGATCTTCACCTCTTTAAATTTTCTCTTCCTCCTGAAGATGTCCTACATGTAAAAGAATAATCCAGTCTCCATAGTTAACTGATGTCAAACTTCATAACAAGAGCAGCACCGTGGCTGCATCAAGTGAATGGAATGTTTCATAGTAAAATTCAGCCTCATTAAATTTTGCTTAGAAACTGCTAACGCAGTTTACAGATTTACTCCTTTATCTCTGATAGTTAAAACAGAGTAATGCACTGTTGAAAATAAGTAACCAGGCTGAACATTTCCAATTTTAATTTATGTAAATTTAAGTCAGCCACAGAGTACAACATAAGGTGTATTACTATTTCTAACACTTTTAGATACCTCGGCATAGTTAGCAGGTAGTTTAAAAAGTGTAAACGTGATTATAAACTTCAGACTAAGTTTTGCTCTTTGATACTCATGCTTAACTCCTACAAAATGCAGCTTAGACTATATCTGACCTTTTCTTTACGATTTTCTTTACAGCAAGTGAAACACTCACTAGATTCAACTTAGACATGCATGCAGTGGCATGAATAGGTTCCATGTCTCAAATAACAGTCATGTGAATTTATGTTCCAGCACATTTGCACACCATTCTTCAAGCCTTGTGCTTGCTTCCTACTACAGAATCACAGCCTCTAAAGCAGGCTTGCCTGTACTTTGACAGTGGGAATCCATCTCTCCTTTTCTACCTTGAGAACACCATACCAGTCCAACTTTGTTGCCTCCCTCAACCTTAAACTGAATGATCAGTAAATATTCAATACTCCATGGAACTAGCATACCCCATTTAACATTCTACAAGGCTAAAGCCACTGTTTCCTTCACAGATGGAACAGTGACTGCACTTTGGATTATGAATAAATCAACCCTGTTGATGAGATCACTCAGCAACTGTTAATTTTATATACTGACTTTTAGTCTTTCCCCCGTACTAAAGAAGTCTATTAGCTATTCAGGTTCTTCTGGAACTATTTTGAACAAGTATTTTTTTCATCATTTACATTTGCTTCAGGGTAACAAGATTATCTGTCATTACTATTAAGGTTGTCCATTTACAAACTCTAAATGTGTAGACAAAACAAACCCCAAAACAAACCAAAACCTGTCACTTCATTTTTATTTAATTTGATTTAAGATGAAAACAAGTCCCAAAACTTTACACAGACATTGGTAACCAAAAAAAAATCCACAAGAATTTTATATAAAAACCATCAACTCTTTTCTCCCCAGCACCACCTGGGGTGACGAGGAACAATGGTCATAAGCTGATGGAGAATAGGTTTAGGTTGGAGATCAGAAGGCAATATTTTAAAGTTAGGGTGGCCAAAATCTGGAACCAACTTCACAGGGAAATGGTCCTTGCCCCTACCTTGGGCAAATTCAAGAGGAGGTTGAATGATCACCTGTCTGGGGTCTTGTGAACCCAGCATTCATTCCTGCCTGTGGCAGGGGGTGAGGCTAGATGATCTGTTCAGGTCCCTCCTGACCCTAGCTACTATGAAACTATGATGATACTATGAAGAAAAGTATTTACTGAATTAAATTCACAAACACGCATCGACTCAATCTGCAAAACAAAACAGTAGCTAAACATGGCCCTTGCCCTCTGAATTGTTATGCTTTTAGAGGTTTGCACAGAAGTCTCAACAAGTTAGCTATTATCAGCAACAAAAGCAAAGACGCTTCAAAGTTACATTTAATTGAAAATATACCGGTTTTGATCAGTAAAATTTTACATAACTTTATGTTCTTATTACAATTCAACTGACATTCCTGAAAAAGATACCTCTGTGTTACATAAAAAGTGCCCTACTGGGTCAGAACAATACCCTGTCTCCGACAGTGTCAGGGTTGAATGCTTTAGAGGGAAAGCATTGAACCAGACATATCTAAACATACCCCCCATTCATTACCCACGAGTACTGATTTACAGATCCAGAAAAAACAACGTTTCCCACCATTCTGTTTAACATCATCTACGAAACTGTCCGGTTCCTTTCCAGACCTGGCTATGCTATCTGCTTCCACCACCTCTTATGGCAATTAATTCTACAAGTTAACGTGTTGCTTTAAAAAAATAAATAAATAAATAAATAAATAAATAAAAAGGACTCTCTCTTGTTAGTTTTAAGCCTGTCACCTACCAATTTCAGTGGGCGCCCCTAATTCTAGTATTCTGGGACTTGGTCAATAACAGTTCCCAGTTCACTTAATCCACACCCTTCATTATTTTATAGACCTCTGTCATACCTCCCTTCTCAGTCTTCTCCCTTTCAAACTGGGGAGTCCTAGTCTTTTTAGTCTCTCCTGGTACAGCAACTGCTCAATTCCCTCTGATCATTTTGGTTGCCCTTCTCTGTACCTTTTCTAATTCTATTATGTCCTTCTGGAGATATCAAGACCAGAACTGCATACAGCATTCAAGATGCAAGAGCACCATGGGTTTGTAAAATGACACAATGTTCTCAGGTTTTTTTTCAATCCCTTGATTATCAACGTTGTATTGGCTTTTTTGGTTGTCACTGCATACTGAGCTGATGTTTTCAGAGAACTATGTACAGTGACTCCAAGGTCTCTTTCCTGAGTTGTAACACCTAATTCAGAATCCAGCATTGTGTACATATATATATATTTGAGGTTATCTTTCTACAAGTGTATTTACCTTACACTTGTCAATACTGAAATTCAGCTGCCATTTGTTTTTGCCCATTCATTCAGCTTAGTGGGAACTTTCTGCAGCTCCTCTCCAGCCATTTGGGATTTAGTTACCCGGAATAATTTGATATCATCTACAAACTTGGAGATTTCATTGTGCTCCTTCATTTCCAGGTCACTGATGAAAATGTTGAACAAAACAGGACCCAGTATAGATCCCTGTGGGATCTCATTTTTTACCTCCCTTTATCCTGAAAAGTAACCATTTAGCCCCACCTTTTAGCATGCTCTCAATTCATAAATACATATTTAAAATCACAAAAAAGCAGGACTGCAATGAGAACCTCCAGACATCATCTATTCCAACTACCTATCACTGAGGCAGGAAGAAGCATACGCAGTCCATTCTGACAGATGCTTAACGTCTTCTTGCCCCAACACAACAACCATCATGGAAAACTGTCACTTGCCTCTTTACAACAACCTTTTACATACTGGAAGATTAATGGGGAGAGGGAGTCAACAGCCTTTTCTAGATTGTACAAACCAAATTCCTTCTACCTCTCCTCTTAGTCCATGTTTTCTAAGCCTTATTCTTGCAGCTTTCCTCTAAACTCTCTCTCCACTTTGTCTCCATCTTTCTTAAAGTGCAATGCCCCAAACTGGACAGAACACTCAAACTGAGGCCTCAAATATGGTTTCTTTGAACTTTGTGCTGGAATTTACCTTATTAGTCTGTGTTATACCAGTTTTTCAACCCTAATACAAATATTGATTTTACTAATGTATTTCTCTTGTGTGCAATATGCACTAGAATAAGATATATACTTCACTTTTTAAAGGAAACAAAGAAAAATAAAGATCTTTCCTTGCAGTAACTGAGTAGCAACAGCAGCCAGGAAGCTTGACCCTGCTCATTATTCCACTTGGTTAGTCTGTTCAGACTTTATTATCACCTTTGCCCAACAGGCAAGAGAAACTGCTCTTAGTGTACTTCTTGGATATAATCTGCACATGAATTTACAGCAGCTTGTTTTGGGGGGAAAAGGTGAGTAGTGCATGTGAGAAAAATATGGTAATTGCAAGCCTGCTTGACTACTGGCTCAGGTGTTCCCATTT